CGTAAACGTTAAAAGTATGTACTCTTTTGGCTTGAATGATTCTAATATAGTGCGATTTACTTAACTCAATGTTTCTGTACTAACTGCAAGCTATTCTCTTTAAAAATACAGAGTGTGAGAACTTATTGAAAAATATACTTTAATTCAAAGAAGACTGTTACAAAACACATTTTACTGAGCAGAATTTGGCATTTTACGCTTTGGTAGTACTTGTAACGATCAAAATTCAAGTGATTGCAGAAGGTCATGTTTAAAAATAAACAAATCATTTGCAGAAAATTGTAAAATAGCGATAGCAAGATAAGACAACTGAAAACGGATGATTATAAAGGAATATTTTAGTTTAGAGAATAATCGTTATTTGTTCAAAAATGACATAAAATGTAGCTGTGTTCTGTAAAACGAAATTAATAATCTTTTAAAATTGAAAAGATACCGGTATTTGTTTGACTAGCATCAATATTCTCAAGCGTTAATCATATATTATCCATTTCTTACTTGTAAGCTTGGAATTCGTGTCCATACCATCAGCTAAAGATGGCTAGAAAATCGTTCAGATTGATTATAATTTTAGTTTCGCAAAGTATTAAAACAATTTCTATTTACTGTTTCATTTGTAAAAAGTTATATAGAAACATTCTGCAACGTAATTTCTTCATTGATATTAGTATACCTTCATTAAGGTTAAAGATTTTAGCGTTTGATCATTTTGATTACTACGAGGCTTGATAGTAATTCTAGCTGCACTAGTTAAAGGATCGTTTGGATTTAAAACTTTACAGTCGTAATCAAGATGATAGCAGACCCTTTCATTCCAATTCACGGTAAGCGTTCGAATCATCAATTCTTTATCCTCACACAGAAGGCGCCCATTCTTGAATTCGATTTTATAGGAGCCATTTTCTAATATAACATCTTCTAATCCACAAGGCGAAAGGGCAATTCGCCGGTAGGGCTCAGGAATATTTTGCATTATGTTATCGTCATCTACATTTTTACTCAATATTACAATCTTCAGATGAGTGGTTTTTAAATAGGAATCAATCGGCGATAAGTAAGCCACAGCTTTGATTTCCTGCTGATATGAGGGAAATATATGCTTGAATAAAACTGATACTGCTGATTTAATATAGATTAAATAATCCGAAAAATGTTGAATAGGGACATTAATACAATATGTATTCTCAATTTCTTGTATAGATATGGATTGGTAATCTAATTTCTGAATGTTCCAAACTTTATCTTCTTGACTTCGATGGCCTAATTTTAAAGGTAGGTCTTTAATGTTATCCACTTTGAAATACTGACACAATTCGCTAGCGGAAGGAATTGGTAACCGTAACATTACTTCAAATGATTCTTGGTAGCCAAAATGGTATCCATCGGGCTCTAGTCGAATAATGGGTGATAAATAAATTAGATGTTCACCATCATCGACGGGTAGGCCAAAAATGTACGGGGCATCCGTGTAGAAGGTTGTTAATGTTATGGATAAATTATCCTTTAAAGCCTTTTTAGGAACGAATAGACGTAGCTGAGGTATTTCTGGTAAGGTTATGGTATGATTATCAGATATTGTACAAAGTTCAGTTATTTGAGGATAGCCATTTAATGCTATAAAATAGGTTGACATTGTGTTAGAGAATATGCAAGGAAAAATGCTGCAAGTATGAATACGTTTCCATCTGCAGTATTTTGCGATGATATTACCAGTAAAGATTATTCCGCTTACAATCTATCACATTATAATCTCAATAATTGTAAATCTTATACAATATTTCTATGATATCTTGATCCTAGAATGATAATTGTCAAAGTTATACTAATGATTTTACCCGGTATAAATCCTGGAAATATATTTAAGTGACTTTCGTTCTGGTAGTCAATATCAGTTATAGCATTTTCTAGAAAAATAACAATATTTATTAATGAATTTTAAGCTAAATCGAATTTTATTTAGTATTTATTAACTCTTCAATATTCCTATCTCAACTTTACAGTATGCTACCGCTTAATATAGTAGAGTTAAATGTCAAGGATTATGTTTAGTAGATGATTATTCATCAAACGTCTTACAACTTAACTGAAGAAAACTAAAATAAGCATTTATTTCTCTAAGTAATCTAGCTATCCCGATATTATAGTCAGCTCAAATTTATGGATTTGGCTTAAAACAGACTTTCTAGCTCCTCTTGCTCTTCTTGCTTCTCATGCTCCTCTTGTTTCTCCTCTTGCTTTTCTTGCTTCTCTTGTTCCTCTTGTTTCTCTTTGAGTGATTTCTCATTCGTAGAAATAGCTTCTTCACGCTTACCTTCAGCTTGATAGACATTTCTTAGATTGTTATATGACTTTGCGACATCTGGATGGTTGTGACCCAAAACTGATTCTTGAATGTTATAGGATTGCTCGTACATAGAAATAGCTTCTTTATGCTTGCCTTGATCATTATAGACATTTGCAATGTTGTTATATGTATCAGCAGTACTTGGATGATTGTTGCCAAGTTGCGTCAGTTTAATGTTGAGTGACTTGTTATACATTGATAGAGCGTCATCATACTTGCCTTGACGATGATAGACACTTGCAATGTTGTTATATGTTGTAGCAATACTTGGATGATTGTCGCCAAGTTGTGTCAGATTAATGTTGAGTGACTTGTTATACATTGATAGAGCGTCATCATACTTGCATTGATGACAATAGACAATTGCAATGTTGTTATATATATCAGCAATACTTGAATGATTGTCGCCAAGTTGTGTTAGATTAATCTTGAGTGACTTGTTATACATTGATAGAGCGTCATCATACTTGCCTTGATTATCATAGACAATTGCAATGTTGTTATATGTATTAGCAATACTTGGATGATTGTCGCCAAGTTGTGTCAGTTTAATCTTGAGTGACTTGTTATACATTGATAGAGCGTCATCATACTTGCCTTGATCTTTATAGACACTTGCAATGTTGTTATATGTTGTAGCAATACTTGGATGATTGTCGCCAAGTTGTGTCAGATTAATCTTGAGTGACTTGTTATACATTGATAGAGCGTCATCATACTTGCCTTGACGATTATAGACATTTGCAGTGTTGTTATACGTTGTAGCAATACTTGGATGATTGTCGCCAAGTTGTGTCAGTTTAATCTTGAGTGACTTGTTATACATTGATAGAGCGTCATCATACTTGCCTTGATCATCATAGACTTGTCCAATGCTGTCATATAATACAGCAATACTTGGATCGTTATTTTCAAGAATTTTCAGTTTAATCCTTAATGATTTATTGTATTCCTTTAAAGCCTCGTCATGCTTGCCTTGATTCTGGTAGACCAAGCCAATGTTATGATAGGACTTACTGACATCAAGATGTTCACTCCCTAACGATTTTAATTTTATTTGAAGTGATTTGTTGTAATCACTCAAAGCACCCATAAAATCACTTTGAAGTCGTTTACAGTCGCCCTGGATATCGAAACAAGAAGAAATCTTGACCTCTTCTAGTTTCTTAGCTAACTTTTCTGCTTTTTCACTGTATTCATTGGCTTCTATCAATTGATATTTTTGCAGGTAAGATTGAGCCATAGCGAGATAAATAGAATATTCAAGTTGACGACGACTATCACTACTCTCCGCTATCGATTTGATTTGAGTTACAGCTTTTTGAAAATAAAATAATGCAATTGCCTTCGCCATGATATTTCACGCCCTTTTTGCGTATAGATTCAATCTCGTCAAATATCGTAGAATTGCTAGTCTGATTGGCCATATTTTACTTTTCAACAACAATCAAAATATACAATTTGAGAAAAATAGTCACAATTTGTCTACTCGATAGGGTTAACAATTTTGATCGCTGTACAAATGAGTGATAAAATACGTAAAGAGCACACTATCATGGATGCTCGATGCTTTCAAATCAAGATCAGCATTACAAAGTCTATTTCAGTTAGGAACATGCTCTAATTAGCCAAATCGGATACGCCTTTATTTGTTCGCGGTTTTCAATCATTCATCCATTATTCTCTTACAATTCATCAGGATGATGGAGAAGAAATAAATTAAAGTGGGCAGGCATTCTTGTCGATACTTCTTTCTATCCGTTTTTCTAATATATCAATCATCCAAGTCAATCATTATTATAATAATAATTAAAAAACGCATCATTAGCACAACACTAGCATCAAAATGAGTCAAATGTTGAGGCTACATGTAAAATAAGTTAAAGATTAGCATAAACATGAATAAAATAGGAACATGATAATAGCTTCTACGCATACCAATAACGATTGAATTAATAAACTTGCTTAATACAATTTACTGCAGTTGTAAATTGATGTAGAGCTTTATACTCAAGTGGCGTGGATTACTTGTAGCTTTCCGCTATTTACCATTGCTGCCTTATACAGTACTAATCGAGACTATTTCATGACTTATTTTTCACGTCAGACAGTTGATTTAGTCGATTATGCTCATGCTTTGACATTTCTCAGCAGTCAATAAATGTAGTATCATAAAATAAACTGATATGATTATTTTCTACATTACTTCACGATCTAAAAATCCAATTCTATTAAGTTCATACTCAAACTCAAGATATTAATTAATGCTAATTACTATATTCATCATAAAGCAGTATACTATAGCTACAGGTTGCACCTTTGACGATACAGTGTCCATCTTATTTGTCAATATTGTGGAGTAGTATACAATTCGCATTTACTTCGTTAACATTGATTGGATAATAATTTTGCATCATCAAATTGATTGATTGATGAAAACAAAATCAATTGATGACTAATTAAACTAAGGCTAATGTATAAATCACCTGCATAGCGCATGACACTTATGGTACTTACACGAGGATAAACTAGCATTCTATTAAATGTATAAATTTTATGTAAGATATTAAGATAGACTATTTTATTGCAGGTTTAGTTTTAATCTCATATAATGCCATGCATATAAGAGGTGATCTGTATTATTTCAATTTACGATGTAAGTGACTCGCACTCAATTCACCATACAAAATCTAAATAGCACAAATCATACAAGTTAAAGCCGTAGTGTAGATTCACCATTTCATTTAAAATCTGCAGACTTTCAATCCTATATTCAAATATCATAGTTATCACACTGATGTCGAAAACATCAGTAACTGAAATTAAATATGTACAGTATAATGAACACGATGCGATTAAATGTATCATTAAACGAGTATATATTCAGTGACCGACTCGCTAGCTTGATTAATTAATAATATTCAAGTAGCACCCAATTAAAATATCTTTTGTATGGTAATCTACTACTGTAACTGTAAGCTAAATTAATAATATTCATGACTAGAAAGTACAATTGAAATTTTGCAAATGAGAACTGCAATCGTAGATTATAGGCTATAGGAAAAGGGTAATGAAGAAATACTGCGCGTTATGTAATATTAATGGTGTGGTTTTGCAATATAATTGTTTGTATTTTAATTTGCGTATTTTCATTAAGCAATAGCAATTAGCAGTAAGCAATAAGAACATATTCATTGAAACTAATGACAAATAGCGACGAGTATTCAGTGTCGATATATTTTAACATTAATCTACTATATCGCACATTGCCTACCACCGACTTCTTTCACTATACACGCTTAAAGAAATACTCACATAAAGCTAACACCAATTGCATAGCTACTAGTGTCTGCATATGGAAACTTATTTTCCATAATCGTATGGAAAGGGCAGAATTGAATTATCAAGATATATGCATATGCTATGCATATATAGCATGCATATAGTATATTGCGTGAATATAGCATGAGCCCAATGACTTTACTCCGATTAGGATTTATCTTTGCTATTAACTCATAATATATACTGAGCATCGAGCGAGTATATTGTCAACATCAAACTGGAACTTAATTAGTTTAAGTAAATATTCATATATATAGTTCAAGTTTACCATAAACCGTGGCTCTATTGATAAAGAAATAGTTATTATTTTGATAGAGAGATTCTTGAGCCGGCAGAAGTGGAAATAGTTGCCATTTCAGAGAATGACATAAATGTCTTTAGTAGCGAACAGATACTTTATTATAGGGTGTAATTCGCGTAAGAGTGCGGTAGTTACTAGGAAGCAGCGTGCAAGCTGTGATGAAATAATACGAGAACCACTAACACTATAACTATTATAGCTAACGCAAACTGAGGTAGAAATCGGTAGCATTTACAGCTTTGAAGATAGAAAATATACCATACTAGTCTATGAAAATGGAAGAGAATGCAATTTGCCTATTAAAGTACAAACACAAAATCTTAATTTAAATCGGTAGAATTATCTGCAAAATGCTGTATCGTAGGTTGATTTTTGATTATTTTCCATCCAAACAGTATTGACTTAATAGTTGTTTGCAATCGTACTTAAAGTCTTCGATTCATGTATAAGATTTATTCCTTAATGTGGATTGAATATGAATAGTCTAACAGATTTTCATTACCTTCCAACTGAAGCTGAGGAAAACTTGAACAATAACTTGATTTAAGCTTAACTTATTGTAAAGGTAGCTGCGGATAATTATCGATATAACCGAACAGATAATAGTGATTTTTAAGTGCACTTTGTCCTAGTACAACAAATCGCATAATTACTACTTGCTTCTGTTAATACTGTATAATGTACAAGCTGCTAGAGACAATGTAGTAACCACATGGTGGTTAGCAAGATCTTGTCAAATAAACAGACTATTTACAATGGATACGGTATGTCTTCTGTGCAATAAAACTGCTGTTAGGTGAGCACATACTACTATCGGATAAATATTCAATCTATTACATCTTTCATGATATTGTCGCAATCAGTCAATCTTACTATATTTTATATTAGAAACCTTTTTTATTAAATATGATTCAGCTCTAGCATTACTGTAATACGTGTTGTCAACGCTAAATTTATACATTAATGAGCAGTTTTAATCATACTGCCAATGGCAACAAAATCTTACTGAAAAACGTGATACATCGATGATCTAGTATTGGTTAGTGAAGCAGCCATAACAAAATAAAGCATCCTATTCAACATTTGAAAGAAATCCTGTATTTAGTATGAAAGAAATCTATCTAATACAGATACCAAAGTTTATCCCAGATTTATAATTATTGGATTATCATAGGAATATAGTTTCTTATTCATGTACGTATCTCTTGTAATTGTAGAAATGTTTGCATAACACAAAGCAATTGATTACTATGCAACATTGACATTGTCTCAAAATAAGATGAAAAAAACGCAGTATTACTAGATAAAGCCACTTAATCTAGCAAAAGGCAATTTCGAATAGTTTATGTAAATATTGCATATCAACATTTCGTTATTTCTATTTTACACTACGGATTATAAGGTAAAAGTATATAACCGTAAGAGCCAAAATAACTTGAGCAATCGATGCTGCTTGTCACAGCGATATATCTTAAATGAAATTAAAAAATTTTAAAATAGAAGCAAGTGTTATAGTTCATCCTTCAATATAGTAAAATAGCACCGTAAAAGCCATGACTGAAATAAACGATAAGAAAGTAGCTATAGCACACATCATGTCAGTTTATTAACAGACCTGCTGCAGTAAAAAAATAAAATATTCTCATATTGTCAACAATATCGGTAGAACGAATATAGGATTACTGTCGGTAAATTATGGAGAGACATGTTAAATCTTGATTGCTAACACAAGATAACTATCAAATCACGTAATGTTGATCCTTTCAAGAAGCTAATTGTTAGAAGCGGCTGATTCGTTGACTTTTGCTATCCTAAATTGATTTTTCAACTATAAATATTAATACCATCTTTCAGGTGTGCCAATAAGCCCACTTCGTTGAGGATTCGTAAACTTATACGTAATAATATAAAATACAAGCGGTAGAGGAATTAATCCTAACAGCACTTGAGCTGCAATAGGTGGGTTTTTTAGTCCATTGGTTGCAGCAGCAATGCCTATGGCAAGAGCCAGCCAGTGTACCACAGTTATGATGGTTAATCGCTTACTTTTGATAACATCCAGAAAAGACTAGAAACAATGGCAATAAATTAAACAAGATCTGTTATAATCTTATGAACGATTACCTATCGATATAGTATAATTAAATTATTTTGGATATTTCATTTTACAATCAGAGAAACGATCATCCTTTTACTGCGTCCATGCTATTTAAGGTTACTAATGGTACGCTATGTTATTTTAATTCTGTTTTAAATGATTTCTACTTTCTCGATACTTACGCTGACGTTATTGCCGGCTAAGGTATAAGCAGTTGTAAGCGTTGCTGTTACTATTACAATGTATGGAAAACCAAAATCTAGGATATCAATGATAGTTTCATTAGCAACGTTGATAAGACAGTAGAAAACGCATAGACGTTCCATACACCAATCCCCGAAGCAATTGACTTACAAAGTACTCCACCTAGAACGGCTTGTGTAACGATTAAGAGAGGAAAAAAATACAGTGCAGCATAGATAGACTTTTTCATGCCCAAAATATTGAATTTTGAGGCAATCATTGTTCTAGCAACGGCCATCAAGATTAAAGCGATGAAATAATATTTTAGTACGATACTATACCTATAAGTGTGAACACAAAAGCCATTCAAGATGAAATCAGTTAATGTGTACAATTCATTGGATGGGGATACAAGATGATCATTAAAATTGACTGGTGTTAAGCTCAGGCTATTCACAGCCAATATATCTATATTGACAGATTATATTATATGTCTACTTACAATGGACAAACAGCTTCAGCTGCACAATGAATGGTAATTTTGTAATCGATTGTGGGATTATAAAATATTGTGTACCAGTCTGATAATTCTTTAACGCCACAACCTTCTAATGTTAAGCTACCTATATTCCATAGCGAGAAGGAATGCGCTAGTCAGTCTCAAACGCCAACGCGTGAAATAGTTCTAGCTTGTATCAATTGATCTTAGCTGATTAAACCTATCTCACTTTTGAGCAAATGTACCTTTGCACGTAATCTGCTAATGTTTCTACAGATTGCTTAAAGCTAATAAGATTTATTCGTTCCAGAATTATATCAGAATAATACAGTAAAATAATAACTTTATCATCCTTTAATTACATTAGCAGTGTAAAACTCGCCTATTGTATCATTTACAAAAAATAGTTAATTTATATGCAATTTTACCTATAGGTCGAGATGTTAGAATGGATATTATTGCAGATACGATCGCTTCAAAGATCGCAGATCCATGCCATATTGCGAGCCGTTTGCTTTAATGTGCGTAAAAGTGATCGAGAAAGTTAATTAAAAGCATAAACATTGATTAAATTGACAATCTAGTGTATTATATTATGGCTGCTTTATGTCAACAGTTACAACATCATGACTTCGAAACGAGTCATAACTCCTTTTAGTAATATTAATCATCTATTGAAGAAAAAGAATTAGAAAGCGCCCACATTGATTAACAGCATGGTTTCAAACTACAAAGACATAAACTGCTACTTTATGGAATCGTTAGATATACGTAAAGATATAGCAACTTCATCATTGCTAACTGGTTTACCATCACCCACATTATTCACAGAATTGACAATCTAGTGTATTAGATGATGTTTTTTCATGCCTATGGCCACAACAACAATATGGCCTCGATTTAAGTAACAACTACTTCAAGTGAAATCAATCTTCCATTATATCATTAGAGAAAAGAATTCTTGCTTTGCTTACCTATCAGTACGAACGTAATGATCGATAAAAAAAAAGTGCAACACCAAGGAAAAGGAACTCATAAATAGTAAGAAGAGCCAGTCATAGACGATTAAGGGAAGAGCACAAGGTTGGCAAATACCCGAGGCATTGGGTCGGAATCCGCAAAGGCAAGGCTACAATATCAACAATAAGTTGACATTTATTGAATCAATAAGTGAATAGTATCTAATTGATTTATTGTCATGGACGTAATTGATGTCCACAAACTACATTATTGATGATGGAAATAATAAAGTATCGATCTATGTAGTGCATTCCAATCAAGACAGTGAAGAAAAGGAATCATTATAACTAACTCAAGCAATGCAATGATCTTTTAAATTGAACGCAAGAAACTACATAACAAAATAAAGAGTTGACGATCGATATCATTGCCGATTAAACTTGTCAATTTTCGCCCAAGGATGAGAAGGATTTATGCACTTCTTGATGTTACTACTGTCCAACTTTGTTCAAGATCAATAACCAATCTCACGATTATGTCAATCATGAATCGACTGATCATTTTTAACCATTCTTCTCCTAGGCAAAGTCATATTCGATAAGACTGTTTGAAATCATTTTCCATTTTGATTATTACTTACTCCACATGCCGTTAACTGGCCGTTTTCTAATACAGTTCTACCACAGTATTTTCCAGTACAAGCATCCAGGGCATCCGCTAACAAATACAAATAAAAGAAAGTATTTTCTTCCATTCTACTTATCGAAACATTCTTAATCTTAATCAAACAACGATATTCTTAATTGGTCAATGCTATTTGAATAAAGGTCAACATGGAATTATTTTGTCTAATATTGTCTAGCAGCATTTCTGTTTTTATTTCTTAATCAGTTGTTTATGCTTGAAGAACTCATAATGAGTGAAAAAAGAAATGATATCGATGTAAAGGTGATCGCAGTCAGAATTGGGTAGTAGAGTGTAGAACTAATTCAACGATCGATCCGTTGCATGGAAATAATTCCACAATTGTTTATTGCATAGAAATAACTCAACGATCGCTCCGTTGTATAGAAATAGTTCCGCGATCTACTTATTGCTTACAAATAATTCATCCGTTGATCGGTTGTACTGAAATAGTTTCAAGATTGATTAATTACATGGGAATAACACCACGATCGATCTATTGCAAGGGCAATCAATCGATCTAGTAGAAATAATTCTACAGTCCAACTATTTCATATCCATCAATGCCACTGTCAATATAAACAATTCAATATGATCCAATACAAAGAAATCCTAATTCAAAAGATCGATTAAGGCTATGGATGAAGATTCCTGGCAAAGAGTGTTGCCATTTTACCGAGATTTGGTGTAGACAAATTTTCAATTTCCGACGGTACATCTACTGGAAAATCGTTCAATTACCGATCATGAAGGATAATACCGGCAACGAATCGTCTCAATAACTTTATGTTTTGATTCATCAGCCCCTGATGACAGTTTTACTGCATCGTTTTTCAACGACTAAAATCATATCCAGTGAATATTTCTACCCATGCATACTGTACTCTACCCTAAATAATGTTGAAGACTGTAAAGTAAACGTTAACGATATCGCTAAAGGATGGATAAAGATATCAAATGGACGTTTAAAAGATAGCCTGAGGAAAGCTTCTTCGATCAAGAGGTTGAATGAATGACAAATGATCAATAATATATATACAACTAATAGGAAATCAATTTGTAATCAATGTTATCGTGTAGAAGAAATGCATTCAATTCGCTAGAACAGACCGATGCACTCGCTAATGCCCTTTTCTTCCCCGATATCCGTGATGGAGACTGGTCTTTTGAAACAGAGCTACTTTATTACCTAAAGATAGAATAGAAAAACTCACGCAATGGAAATGGATTGAATGACTCAAGAGTATGGGGATTGATTTTCAAGAGTTTGTTACTCTGTAGAAAGCCTTAGCATGAGTTTATACATTTTAGAGTTCATGTTAAGCCCGAAAATGTGTCAAGTACATCATTTCAGAATGGCTACTAATTCTCATTCATTTATTTAAATTGTCATTAGTCGATGAGCACTATTTGCTTTAATATAGTGATTGATAGCCTGGTTCCATCATGGCAGTATTACGATTAAATTTTGATGTATCTTGTCTAATATGAGATCGATGGTACTACAAGAGATCATTTTAAATTGTCTAACAGTAGTATTTTCTGCATTCCAATTGCCTATGAGTAAACTATCCATGTTGATGAAATGACTGGCCAACACCATACCGATATACAATTTCACTCCGCAATGTAAATTATCGATATTCATTTTTAAGCATTTCTTCGAACTACAGTAGAAAAGATTTAAGCCAGTCAAAGAGTAAGGTGTTCTGGGGAAGGGATAAATTTAGTCAAGGTGATCCTCTTGAGAAGGATGTTGAGCAATGAATCTTTCCCAATCATTTCTAGCTAGAAAAGATGTAAGTTACTTCAACAGCAACGATTGCTAGATCAAGGAATAGATCGAATTTAGGAATTCTTTTAAGAAAGATGTCTGGCAATGAATTCTTCCCAATCCACTTTAGCTAGAGAAGAGAGCTAATTCAAAAGTAATGGTATGTCCAATCATGGAATAGATCGAGTTTAGGTAATCGTTTTGAGAAGGATGTCGAGCAATGAATTCTTCCCAATCCTGTCATACTAGAATAGACTTGAGCTTCTTCAACAGCATGGTCGTCTAATTTAGGAATAGATCTATTGAAAGCAATCAGTTTGAGAAGGATGCCGAGCAAAGAATTCTTCTAACTATTTCCTACTAGAAACGACTTGAGCCAGTTAAACAGTAAGGTATTCTCGTAAATGGATAGATGTAGTCAAAGTGATCCTCTTAAGAAGGATATCGAGCAAGGAACTCTTTCAATTATTTCTCACTAGAAAAGACTTGAGTCAGTCAAACAGGAAGATAGTCTAATCAAGGAATAGATTTACTGTAAGGAATCATGTTACGAAGGATGTAGAGTCGTGCATTCTTCCCATCGTTTATAACACAAAAAGACTCTTGACAGCCAATTAGTAAGAGAGCCAAATCAGGAAGGGAAGGATCTACTGAAAGTCATCATTTGGATACGCTCATTCTTATCATTAAAATCCAAATTACGCGTAGTCCAAGTACGATATTCACAACATTTCTACAGCGTTCAATCCATGGAAATGGAGTATCTTATCAATTAATCATGTCATCTGTGTTTTAATAAGTAAGCAAGAGATCTATAGACAGAGATCGCTATAATCTCTTTCATCATGAATCATGTTGAACATCATGTTGCGGTGGTGGACTAAGGATCATTTTAGACTTCAATCCTTCCACCGATTTCGATCGATGTCTAGACATCATTTGCGTAAACTATCAATGGAGACAATGTTAGTATAGCTATGAAGAAAGGCCTTATGACAGTGTCTAGGAAATGATTTGAAGGCGTAGGATAAGATCCATTTTAGACGAAATGGTCAACATGGAGAAAATGTCGATATCAAGTCGTAAGCGTTCAGAGCGAATGGGTGATCATGGACCAATGGTACGTCGATCGCTATTTCACTTTCCGTCAAGCTAGCAATATTATGGCAGCAATGATTTGAAGGCGTAGGATAAGATCCATTTTGGACGAAATGGTCAACATGGAGAAAATGTCGATATCAAGTCGTAAGCGTTCAGAGCGAATGGGTGATCATGGACCGGCGGTACGTCGATCGCCATTTCACTTTCCGTCAAGCTAGCAATATTATGGCAGAAATGAGAACAATCTGAGCATTCGGGTTATAGCGTAACTATCTCATTCTCCTCATCGCCTCTTTGAAATGAGAAAATGAATGCCCGATTGGCAAGCCGCTGTTGCCATGATGAGTTGTTGAAGGATCGTGGGTAGACGATGGATCATCTCATGAACACAAATTGAAGGCCCATGGCAAATCATTTTCATTCATCTTTTACTAAGCAAACTGCGAACCATTCGCACATTCTTTGTGGAAAAGAATGTAGTAGAAAGGAGGATTATTGACTACTTGTTGTTATTAGATCAACCATGATATCGCCATCGACAAGGTTGATGGATCTTGTCGAGCAAAATGAGTCCAGGTGAACCATGAAAATAGACAGCCAAGTAAGGCCCATGTTCTACTATTAACGACAACAATTTAAACTGTAAGGATTATGATGATACAATTTTCCATCATTCTATTATCCATGATGAGTCTCATTTAGACTGTCTTTGAACCCTCTTGGTGATCCACACACCTAAAAGAGATCGTCCATGAATCGCCATGATGTTGATCGATGATGTCCAGGGAAACTATTCAATCTGGATCATGGATAGAGACAGTCGTGATTCTCCGTGGATTATAAGAGTTTAAACGACATGGATAATCAGTGCAACACCTCTACTGTAGTCTATCATCCCTAACTAGTTCAACTGTTACTGTCTTTTAAGTCTCTTCGTCATCCACTCTTACAAGATCTTCCATCCTATCGCTATCAACAGGCCAAATAGTCAACCTGAATCTCAACATCGACAGCCATGTTTCCCCTTCCTATTCCACTCGATACCACTTACCTTGTGTAAGAAATGAGAGTAGAAAGCCAACCAACGCTACGGCTATCATGTTGAATCCCAGCAGATGTCTGGAGCTCATTTCTTTCCACTTAATTACGCTTTAACGTGCATCCAAGGTGGATTTTATTGGCACCATCTTGATCATCTACAACGCCGATCGGAATGAGCCTGGACGGGATTCTTGTCGCTAGGTGATAGCCAACCACTATGGCTATCCTATGTATCATACATCGCTCGTATCCCTGTCATTCTCCTATAGTTTTTGTCTCTCTCTTTCAATGGACAGGTGTAGAGGTCTTTAGGCCAAATCCTTCTTTCGCTGATTGGATTATACAATGACTATGGATATTTCCCTACTGAACGGAATAGGAGAGTATGATGGTAGTCAAGGTACTGAAACAGTCCAAATCTAGTCGAGGATCACACCGAGGCAAGACTCCATATCTACACGGACAGTATGCCCGTGCTAGGATAAATTAGCGGGTACGCTATAAATGGTCGTCAGCGCGTTCGTTGACAATATGCAATGAAAGAAAGTAGACTAGTTACTGAGCCACATCGGATCAAATAGTCCATTAAAATGACTGGCAAGAGCATTAGATCATGCCAACTACTCAAATTAAGGAGAAGATGGCTCTCTAGCAATGCGAGGATGGATCTCTATCCTTCTTCCCAATAGGAATGGTGGCAATTGCTCATTTTGAAGGACTCATTAAGCTGTATGCGATCATGAACAGGGCTTATTAAGCTGTATGTGCCTATGAGCCGCTCTCATTAAGCTGTATGCCACCATGAGTAAGGCTTATTAAGTTATATGCGACCATGAGCAGGGCTCATTAAGCTGTATGCCACCATGAGCAAGGCTTATCAAGCTATATGCGACCATGAGCAGGGCTCATTAAGCTGTATGCGATCATGAACAGGGCTTATTAAGCTGTATGTGCCTATGAGCAGCTCTCATTAAGCTGTATGCCACCATGAGTAAGGCTTATTAAGTTATATGCGACCATGAGCAGGGCTCATTAAGCTGTATGCCACCATGAGCAAGGCTTATCAAGCTATATGCGACCATGAGCAGGGCTCATTAAGCTGTATGCGACCATGAGCAAGGCTTATTAAACTATATGCGACCATGAGCAGGGCC